TAACGTGGCACGTTTTTTCGTCTCGTTTTCAAATTCTCGAAATAACCGATGTTTCGTTTCGATACCCGAATCAACGTTCGAAAATTAATGGTTTTTACTTTATCGCGTGTTCAACGTATTTTTATTTTTATTTGTTTTACACGTTGCTTTAATCCATTATTTACGAGATATGTAAAAAAGAATATAATCAATTTTTCAACAACCTTAAACAAATCTTGTGCTTCTTCGAAATGTTCCGCTATGTCCTATTGTAGACGTTTCGTTCGAACAGATCTTATCTTGCTTGTTTCCCTCAAACGTCGTCTCCTCGATCGCGTATGGACGCGTCTGTCCTTCGTAAATCACGCGAGCTACCGCGCGCATTTGCATCTCAATGCGAACGATGCCTTCTCCTTTTCGACCCTTTCTCGTTCTTCCGTGTTTTTCTCCACCACCACCATCTCGATTTCACCTCCCTTTCCTCAGTTTCTTCTATCCCCATCTTGTCCATTTATCCTTATTTCTTGATGTATTCCTTTCGTTACTCCTCATTTCTTTCATCGACTCGCAGGTTTTCGTTTAAGGTTCGTATCGTCGCGAGTTTTGAAAAAAAAAAAAATTTTGTAGAAAAGATTATTAAATTTTTTAATTAAATTTTTGCATTACATTGTATTATCGATCGAAGTCTGCAAGTAAAATATAATCTTCTTTACGACGCTTTGAGAAAGTTTTAAATAAATTTTATACATATTAGCAGCACTTCGGGAAATAAGTTAATTCCATAACAATATCTATTTAAATCCGTTATTATTTATAAATCTAAAATACAATGGAAAAATATATTCTGATCAATTTTCAAATATTCAAAATCTAAAAAAAAGAGAAAAAAGGAAGTGAAAATCCTTTCTTGAATTTTGTATTATCGATCGAAATCTAATAAAATTTAATCCAACCTCCTGTTAAATATAACTTTCTGAGAAAGTTTTAAATAAATCTTACACTTCTCCTTTATACATACTTATACGTATTAGCATTTCGAATATCTATCTATTGAATCCATTATTATTTTAAAATCTAAAACTGGAAAAATATATTCCGATCAACTTCGATCTATCCTCGATTACCGCATTACAGATATCGCTATAAATTTTCAAAATTGAAAAAAAAAAAAGAGAGAAAATGCTTCCTTGAATTTTTAAGCAGATTTTCGAAGACCTATCGAAGACACGAGAAAGGCAATTTGTATGCGCTCGGTCAAAGCGCCCGCACGCGTCCGCTCGACACGTTGAAAATTTCAAAACAACGATATCGCCTCTCGAAGAATGTTATCTCTCGTCGAATTTACATATACATATACATTTCCTCGTGGCACCCAAGAAACCAACCGTTTTCCCCCTTTTACCTTTTTCCGGGCATAGGCCAGGAATCGGGCCAGGGCCCATTTATCACGGCGGAAAAAGGTGCCGAAACGACGCGTTGTTCTTCTGTAACGTTGTTCTATTTACGTTCGTGTCCTTCGTGCAACGTTTCCTTGTTCGATGACCCCTTCCTTGAGACCGAGAAACGTTCGTATCCTTATCGAGTTCGATGCGAGTAGAACGTTCAAACGTGATAAAACGCAGCGGGGATATGTAAATAAATAAAAAAAAAAAAAAAAAAAAGAAAAAAAAAAACGTAATGAAACGTTATCGAAGTTGTAACGCGCGGAATTTAAATGATTTAATTTGGGTCACAGTTGGAGGTTCCGTTGGAGTGTGGTGTTCACGTGTAATTTCACGGTGGAAACGAATTTTTTTTTTTCTTTTTCTTTCTTTTTTTTTTTTTTTTTTTTTTTTTTTTTTTTTTTTTTTTTTTTTTTTTGGGAGGAGGGAAAGCGAAGAGGATTCCGTTGGAGAATCCGTCAAAAGAAATTATGTATCCTGCTTGAAATTCTGTTAAATATTAATATAGAGAAATAATTAACCCGGGAATAATTATAGATACGTATGTCCCTTGTTAGTATAATCTCCTATATAATCTTCCGATCCACGTTTCTTCCTGTTTTGATGAATAACATTTACGTAATTACCCGATATTATTCTATATTTATTCCGGAATTTTTTCTGGAATTTAAATTTTTTTTTATGGAAAAGAAGAAAAGATACGAATAAACTATTAATACAATGAAAAATAATTAATAATTTTCAAATCAAGTAGATAGAATTATATTATATTGAAAATTGAGAAAAGGAAAAAAATGGAACGTATTAAAAACAATTAGTATTACGCAAATTCTTTTTAACGCGTTCACGCGTTTTCCAATTAAGATGATCATCAAACAACCTGTATCAATTGTAACCTCTCCTATCAAATCCTATGCGTGCGATTGGTATTTTATTCTCGAACAATCCAAACGAGAAGTTACGAAATAAGGAGAGTTGGACGTTTTCCCTGCTCGGGTATCCCCTCCCCTTCCCCTCTTCTCCCTCCCCTCTCCTCCCCTCCACCGCCGCTCTCTTGGAACGTTTCCAACCACCGCCCGTCGTCGTCGCGTCGGTATATCCAAGTACGAGTGTTTTCCACGTCGGCCGTGTTAATAAGCGGACACTCGAGTATTACCGGAAATTGAGCGTGCGCGCATGCGCCTCCCGTTCGGGTTCAAAGGTTACGTAAACGTTCGATCGTGTACGCGTTTCGAACGCACGCGACACGCATGCGGTGTCATTGATACTATATTTAGAAATAGCGTTATTTTCCTTCGATTTTTTTTTATTTTTATTTTTATTTTTATCACACTTTGTTGTTCTGTTGTTCGTGTCTCCTCTTTTCTTTCTCGAAGAAGTAGTTTTTATTTATTTATTTATATTTCTTTTTTTACGAGGAAATTTAAAACGACGAACATTTTTTTTTTTTTTTTTTCCTTCAATAGAAGCGTTACATTTGTTCGTCGTCGTTTGAATTCAAATAAAGTTTTTGCAAGCGTTACGGATAGAAAAGAACGCAATAAGTTTTTTTTATAAGTTCGGTCGATAACAGATACGAAGAATTAACGCATAAATTTTTATCAAGTGTGTCAAGTTATTGTTTCTTGCTAGAAGAATTTATAAATAATAGTACGAAGTAGTATATTATAT